ATTATAAATCTATCAACGTTGAAAAAATTGATACATTCTACTGTGCTTATTATCATTGTAGTGTTTATACATTGTACTGTGCTTATTATAATTTTTATACTTATACATTGTCATGTGTTTATTATCATTGTTAGTTGAATACGTTGTAGCCATTGTAGATGCTGACCATAAAAAAATTACATTTGACATGCACTACAGCATTGCAAAAATGTACTTCATACCCATCTCTTCTTTACACCCATGTTTATAAAGAATTTCATCAGTTTGTACATTGGACAAACATCTTAGTGATACTTCTCTATGCTCCCCATCAATCCCCCTTAGAACCCGATACAGAAAACTATAAATAACTGTATAACTGTATTTTAGCACCGCTAGCAAGGATGTTTGACATTCAACATAGATTGTCCCCCTTTGATATGTACCAATGTCAGTAATCAAGGTCAAATGTGCAAGCGATATACAACAGAAAAATCACATGGGTGATAGCCCCCCCTTTTAAAATCCTTTATTTTCACTTTGCTTTGGTGTGCGTTTGTGTAAGGCGAAATCTTGGGGCGGCTAAGTGACATACTTTCCGCCATCCTATCGAGCTGAAACTTGGAACATGGACTCGTTGCCGATGACAGCACATCGTATTAAATTTTCAGCCCCACCCCAACCCACAAATATCAGTTCAAACGCTACCAGATGACATTGATTTCACGAAATAAAATTGCCCAGCACGCAACTGGTACAGAACCTCTACTCGCAGAGCGTTTGAAAAAAAAGCTTCAAATATTTTAAGATGGTTTGACATTTTATTGAACCAAATGAAGCATAATTGTCAATATTCCTTCAATAATAATTAAAGATTATTCAGCCAAATTTTTCTTTCCCTGCATTTAAAAATGTACAAATTTTTCATTATTTTTTAATAATTTGTCTGCGTAACGACATATGCACTACACATCCACTACATAACCACATATGCACTACACATCCACTACATAACGACATATGCACTACACATCCACTACATAACGACATATGCACTACACATCCACTACATAACCACATATGCACTACACATCCACTACATAACGACATATGCACTACACATCCACTACATAACCACATATGCACTACACATCCACTACATAACCACATATGCACTACACATCCACTACATAACGACATATGCACTACACATCCACTACATAACCACATATGCACTACACATCCACTACATAACGACATATGCACTACACATCCACTACATAACCACATATGCACTACACATCCACTACATAACCACATATGCACTACACATCCACTACATAACCACATATGCACTACACATCCACTACATAACGACATATGCACTACACATCCACTACATAACCACATATGCACTACACATCCACTACATAACGACATATGCACTACACATCCACTACATAACCACATATGCACTACACATCCACTACATAACCACATATGCACTACACATCCACTACATAACCACATATGCACTACACATCCACTACATAACGACATATGCACTACACATCCACTACATAACGACATATGCACTACACATCCACTACATAACCACATATACACTACACATCCACTACATAACCACATATGCATTTGTTTTGTTGTTATGCAGCTGTTTTTATTAAATTAATGTATGTTATATTTTTTATTTCACGATTATGTTTGCTAACATTTTTATGTACAGTGCTGAAAGCCCAGTCCTAGGCTGGGGTACTGCGATCTATAAGAACACTAATAATAATAATAATAATAATAATAATAATAATAGCAACATATTCAATACATAAATACATATGCTCTACGTAACCACATATCCACTACTTAACCACATATCCACTCATAACCATATATAACCATATATCCACGTTGTAAGAAATGTTGGAAGAATGAATATATTTAGAAAAAACCGAAACACATTTTTTAAAGATAAATAAATGAAGGGACTGCTTTCAAGGGACTGCTGATGAAGGCTTTATGCCGAAACGTCCTTGTTTTTTGTCCTGTTACCTTTTTTCAAGCTTCCACATAACTCGTTTCACTATTTCATTCTTTTAAAGATAAACAGCTTTAGTTAGAAACACTGACCAAAAAAAAAATCATTTTTAAATTATGGTTTAAAAGTTTTTAAAAAGCCACTTATCTTTAACATTTTTGATATCGTAATAATTGGTTATAAGAATTCCATAATTTTAAAGATGGCGTACAAGAAAACAAGGTACACATAATAAAAAATCAGGACCCGTGCTAGGGGATCTCAAAGTGGGCGACCGCCGAAGGCCCCACGTTAGCGGTGCCCCGCGCGTTGCCGTAGAATATTTTTAATATACCTAAGCCTACTATTAAGAGTTACACTTTTCGGAGTTATTAGATAGTCAAATGGCCTGAAGGTCAGTCTGGTCCCCATACTATTCCTTCGAGATGAATCTCGGGAAGACCTCTGTTAAGCAGACGAAAGGGGATTATCAGGTAACTTTAATGCTGTATTTAGACCCGTTAACCTTTTGTTCAGCCTACATCGCCTGTTGCAGAGTGGTTATCACAACACGCCAATTTCTTTATCACACCACGTCAATGAGGTTATCACACCACGTCCATGAGGTTATCACACCACGTCCATGAGGTTATCATACCACGTCAATGAGGTTATCACAACACGCCCTTGAGGTAATCACAACACGTCAATGAGGTTACCGTGACACAAAAAGAAGGTGAGGTGGAGAGACATTGGGCAAGTCAACTGTTGTTGACAGAGACAGAACGAGAGCTTGGCAAGATACACCGTCATTTACATTTCGGTGTGTCGTGGGGTTTAAGGTGGGGGGGGGGGGTTGGTTGTTTAGAGACCGGGGCTAAGCATTTCTGGATTTAAAATAATTATGAGGTGTTTTTTTTTTTCTTTACAAGTTAATTTACTCGTCATTTACATTTCGGTGTGTCGTGGGGTTTAAGGTGGGGGGGGGGGGGTTGGTTGTTTAGAGACCTGGTCTAAGCCTTTCTGGATTTAAAATAATTATTAGTTGTTTTTTTTTCTCCTTACAAGTTAATTTACCTGCATTAAAGGTACTATACGATCCCGCAAACTCAACTGCCATTGTATACTTTATGATAAATCTTCATTAATATATATATTGTTACAACCTTGAAAGGGGCGCAACTCTGTATCGGATTTTTTTCCTTCAAAGTTTAAAATAAGCGGCCTCTTGAGTTGTTCCCTTGAAAAGTCATGATGGCATTAGCATCTGTGCATTCAATCATAAGACAAAAATAACAATTAATATATTAATTTAAAAAAAATTGTTTATTCATGTATTTTATACAATTAAATAATAGCTCATTTATTTCTTATATTAATAGCTTGCTTCTGGTTCGTCCGACTTCATCTTCACATCCAGCCCCTCCCCAACGCCTTATGCTTCCTGTTAATAGTGCCGAGTGAAGAGAGGCTGCTTCACGGCGAGCCTGTTGTGCGACGTCTGAACTCCGTTGATTTTATTTCTTTACGGGGAGAAGACTACTATATTAATTAATGTTAAGAGCCATGGGTATGTTTAGAACTGTCTATAGGACTATTGTTTAAAGGCTGGCAGGTAGGGTATAGGACTTTCTGTAGGCTTATTGTTTAAAGGCCGGCAGTTAGGGTGTAGGACTGTCTTTTGGCCTATTGTATAAAAGCGGGCAGTTAGGGTGTAGGACTGTCTTTTGGCCTATTGTATAAAAGCCGACAGTTAGGGTGTAGGACTGTCTTTTGGCCTATTGTATAAAAGCGGGCAGTTAGGGTGTAGGACTGTCTTTTGGCCTATTGTATAAAAGCCGGCAGTTAGGGTGTAGGACTGTCTTTTGGCCTATTGTATAAAAGCCGGCAGTTAGGGTGTAGGACTGTCTTTAGACCAATTGTTTGAAGGTAGCCAGTTAGGAATGAAAGGACTTCTGTAGGCCTATTGTTTAAAGGCCAGCATTTATTATAGAAATGAGAAATTAACTCTTTTCTGTGACACTTGGACTCACCAGGTATTTTCTCCAAATACCCGGACACGGTGTAAAAAAACAACTGCATCAGTTTAAGCCCTAGTTAATGAATAGTTTTGTATGTGAGCTTGTTGTCCTTCCCTTACTGAAATGTGGACAATGCAACAAGAATTTAACGTGATCCACTGAGTTCACACAGCGCGCCATGCACACTGGGACTGAAGCCACTAGAAAAATGCAATCGTGCGTAAAGCTGTCCACTGTGATCTTAGGATCTCCCAGGGGCGTAGCTTCATTGTTTTGTTTTTAAAATGGTAGAACGGGAAATTAACGGTAAAGGGGGATTTTCATAGCTAGTAATTTCATTTATTTCAGACGCATTATTTTTATATTCCATAAGTTTAAGTTGATAGTTCTTCGCAACTGTCCACTTTGTAATGGCCAATGAAAGAATGACCAAAGCACAGTCTAATTTTGTTCCAAATAACTTAGTGAAATGAGTGTTATTGATTAGAGAAAACAAAGAAAATTCATAAGATTCTGATTTCTGGAAGAGTACAAAATATTTGAAACGAACAACAATTATTCAAATACCGATGTCATTAATAGCATTTAAAAATTCTCCAAATTAGACATACGTTAAGAAAATAGAAACACATACAACGCGAGTTTTAAATTAATATAAATGTGTTTAAATACTTCCCTATAACAATAAAATGACAGATCACTTGAGCTTGTGTGTTGAAATCAGCGTTGCAGAAATATTATAATCTGATGATATACTTTCCTGGAGCATACTTTTATTGACATCGCTACTTATCATTGCAAGGTCTGACCCATTGAACTTAGTGGTCTACGCCTATGAGCGCAGCACTAACGTTAAGCGTGTGAGCTAAAAGAAATGTTTTGGAAAGAAGAGCTTGGAAATGATCTTATGTGAACTTTTGTCATTGCCTGGAACATGAACTGATTTGGATACTAGAGTGCTTTTGGAACATGAACTGATGTGGATACTAGAGTGCTTTTGGAACATGAACTGATGTGGATACTAGAGTGCTTTTGGAACATGAACTGATGTGGATACTAGAGGGCTTTTGGAGAGATTACCATCGTGTAAGTCCGATTTTCATTTATTTTTAGAAAAAACTTTAATTATTCCTGACTAAATTTTAGATATTTACAGTTCATTCTCTAAAAATATGTGATAAATTATTTGTTTTAGGGTAAATATATGACATCCTTCCGTCTTCATGAGATGATGGAGTAGCTACACACACTTCAACGAATGGCTCACAAGGCCAATCCTGAAATGGCAATTCGGCTGCATTTCTCGCAGGAGAATATTGATTCTTTGTTAGATTTGGCGCTCCATATTGTTCTTTTTGTTGCAAGGCCTTCGTTTCGCTTTGCTTTTTGAACCCTTCATACACTGTTGTTCGCCATTTGAAAGTTAAGCAATGATCTCTCATTCATTAACTTAAATGTTGGCTTCCCTCATGCTCCTTTTGCACACGTCCATAAATCTCAGGCATAGCCGTCCAAATATGTCTTGTCCATTCTGCCAACTCTCCATACAGCAGCATCTTTGGAATACGGCCTTTCTCCATCCTCCATGCATGGCCTAACCAGCGAAGGTGCCTCTTACTAAGAGCGGAGAATACATCCACATCTGGTGCAGGTTCCAAGACCTCTGTGTTAGGGTAGAGATCGAACGTAAATAACTTGAAGCTTAAACTAAAACAACACTTTTGCTCCCCATTAAATCCCATGTTAAAAAAAAATATTAAAAATAAAAAGAAATTTTAACAAATTCACTACAATTTTTGCAGATGGAAACATAGGGCAAATTGACAGTGAAACGCAGAGCCATTGAGGACCCAACAATGTTGAAGAGGTCTTTCCTTCTGTTGATCCGTGTACCAGATCACCAAGTACGTGTTGTCTCCACTCTTGGGAATGTGGAGCCTGACGACCACCAGCCAGCGCCCAGACCGTTCAAGGCTATCCCAGGTCCAAGGGGCATTTATCGGTGGCCGTCCATTGGGTCCATCTTACTGTTTAAACCCTTCTGTGAGTTGACGAGTCATTTAGCAATACGTTGTCATCGATGCAATACGTTGTCATCGATGCAATGTAAAAATCAATAAACGAACCATTATATTTTAGATATAATATAAACTTGAATGAGCAACCCATTGTATTGTAGGTAAAGTTTAAAAATGTATGAACAACACATTATATTTTAGGTATAGTTTAACATTTAAAAAAAAACCATTTTAGTTAAGTTGTGATATAAAATTTAATAAACAACACATAATAAGGTATAATATAAAAATCAAGAAATAACCATATTTGTTAGAAATTAACGAATTATTGATTAAATCACAGGGAAGTCATAAACATCAATCAATAACAATGCTTATTGGGAAAACTTCGTTACGAGTATTTCTTTCTTCAACAGCCAAATACACAATAGAAACAATGCACAAACTAATGGACAAGATGTGCGATAGGTATGGATCCATCTTTAAATTCAACATGGGCACACAGGTGGTTCTTGTATCCGACCCTCAGGACTTGGAGACAATTTTTAGAAATGAAGGGAAGTATCCATGCCACCCAGAAATGAGCCTTCCTGAGAAGTATTACATTAGCAAACGACTGAAAGTACCATTGACTATGTTGTGAGTCATTTTTACATAAATTAAAATCCGTTATCCCAAGAATAGAGTTTTTATTCACATAGGAAGATTTGGAGCGGATATCTCAAACTTTATTACGTTGTGTGGTAGTTGTTAAGAAAAAACAGTTAAAATAAATGGATCAAAAAGGTAACTTCATTACCATGTAAAGTAACACCTGCAATCATGTAAAGCATTGTAACCAGTTCAACCATGTAAAGTAATGTAAGGTGTTCATTCTGTTTGTTTGAAAGATCGGGCCCCGTATGTAGTCTTCTCTACCTACTAAATCCATGAAAGGCAGTAATTATAACTACTCATTTGACTTGCATGTTTTTATCCTTATTCTCAGGAGTGGGGAAGAATGGCATGGTATGCGTACTCCGGTCAACGGTTGTCTCATGAAAGCTGACTCGGCCACACATGACCTGGAACCACAGAACGCAGTGGCTGATGATTTTGTGAAGATTCTAGAGACACGCGATCTGCTAAATATAGACCAAGCGGATCTCTTCTTTCGTTTTGCGTCAGAGAGTAAGTCTCGCCAATGAAAACTCTTGATAGTTTCATAAATGCATCATACTAAAGGGGCGAGACAAGAATAGAGCCACATGAACAAAAACCGAAAGCTATGTTTTAGAATTCGTTTTGTTGAAGTATGTAAACTACACAAATTTTGAAAATTATAAAGCAGCAATCATAATTTGTAAAGCATAGTTCAATCTTTTTACAATCATCCCAACTAGCATTGTTTCATTGCCACAGTCCGCCAAACTAGAATTGCTTCATTGCCACAGTCAGCCAAACTAGAATTGCTTCATTGCGACAGTCAGCCAAACTAGAATTGCTTCATTGCGACAGTAAGCCAAACTAGAATTGCTTCATTGCGACAGTCAGCCAAACTAGAATTGCTTCATTGCGACAGTCAGCCAAACTAGAATTGCTTCATTGCGACAGTCAGCCAAACTAGAATTGCTTCATTGCGACAGTCAGCCAAACTAGATTTGCTTCATTGCGACAGTCAGCCAAACTAGCACTGTTTCATTGCCTCAATCAGCCAAAATATTCTTTTTTATTGCCACTATCTTCCAAACAAGCTCTGATAATTGCCACAATCATCCAAATTAGCTCTGTTAATTGCAACAATCTTCCTAAATAGCTCCGTTAATTGCCACAATCGTTCAAACTAGCTCTGTTAATTGTCACAATCATCCAAACTAGCTCTGTTAATTCCCACAATCATCCAAACTAACTCTGTTAATTGCCACAATCATTCAAACTATTTCTGTTAATTGCCACAATCATCCTAACTAGCTCTGTTAATTGCCACAATCTTCCAAACTAGCTCTGTTAATTCACACAATAATTCAAACTAGCTCTGTAATTGCCACAATAATCCTAACTAGCTCTGTTAATTGCCACAATCATCCAAACTAGCTCTGTGTAATTGCAACAATAATCCAAACTAGCTCTGTTTAATTGCCACACTCATCCAAACTAGCTCTGTTAATTGCCACAATCTTACAAACAAGGTCTGTTAATTGCCACAATCATCCAAACTAGCACTGTTAATTGCCACAATCTTCCAAACTAGCTCTGTTAATTGCCACAATCTTCCAAACTAGCACTGTTAATTGCCACAATCTTCCAAACTAGCACTGTTAATTCACACAATAATTCAAACTAGCTCTGTGTAATTGCCACAATAATCCTAACCAGCTCTGTTAATTGCCACAATCATCCAAACTAGCTCTGTTAATTCACACAATCATTCAAACTAGCTCTGTGTAATTGCAACAATAATCCAAACTAGCTCTGTTAATTGCCACAATCTTCCAAACAAGGTCTGTTAATTGCCACAATCATCCAAACTAGCACTTTTAATTGCCACAATCTTCGAAACTATCTCAGTTAATTGCCACAATCATCCAAACTAGCACTGTTAATTGCCACAATCTTCCAAATTATCCCAGTTAATTGCCACAATCATCCAAATTATCTCAGTTAATTACCACAATCATCCAAACTAGCACTGTTAATTGCCACAATCTTCCAAACTATCTCAGTTAATTGCAACAATCATCAAAACTAGCACTGTTAATTGCCACAATCTTCCAAACTAGCACTGTTAATTGCCACAATCATCCAAACTAGCACTGTTAATTGCCACAATCTTCCAAACTAGCTCTGTTAATTGCAACAATCATCCAAACTAGCTCTGTTAATTGCCACAATCTTCCAAACTAGCACTGTTAATTGCCACAATCTTCCAAACTAGCACTGTTAATTGCCACAATCTTCCAAACTATCTCAGTTAATTGCCACAATCTTCCAAACTATCTCAGTTAATTGCCACAATCATCCAAACAAGGTCTGTTAATTGCCACAGTCTTCCAAACTAGCACTGTTAATTGCCACAATCTTCCAAACTAGCACTGTTAATTGCCACAATCTTCCAAACTATCTCAGTTAATTGCCATAATCTTCCAAACTAGCACTGTTAATTGCCACAATCTTCAAAACTATCTCAGTTAATTGCCACAATCATCCAAACTAGCACTGTTAATTGCCACAATCTTCCAAACTATCTCAGTTAATTGCCACAATCTTCCAAACTAGCACTGTTAATTGCCACAATCTTCCAAACTATCTCAGTTAATTGCCACAATCTTCCAAACTAGCTCTGTTAATTGCCACAATATTTCAAACTATCTCAGTTAATTGCCACAATCTTCCAAACTATCTCAGTTAATTGCAACAATAATCCAAACTAGCACTGTTAATTGCCACAATCTTCCAAATTATCTCAGTTAATTACCACAATCATCCAAACTAGCACTGTTAATTGCCACAAACTTCCAAACTATCTCAGTTAATTGCAACAATAATCCAAACTAGCACTGTTAATTGCCACAATCTTCCAAACTAGCTCTGTTAATTCACACAATAATTCAAACTAGCTCTGTGTAATGGCCACAATAATCCTAACTAGCTCTGTTAATTGCCACAATCATCCAAACTAGCTCTGTTAATTCACACAATCATTCAAACTAGCTCTGTGTAATTGCAACAATAACCCAAACTAGCTCTGTTAATTGCCACAATCTTCCAAACAAGGTCTGTTAATTGCCACAATCATCCTAACTAGCACTGTTAATTGCCACAATCTTCGAAACTATCTCAGTTAATTTCCACAATCATCCAAACTAGCACTGTTAATTGCCACAATCATCCAAATTATCTCAGTTAATTGCCACAATCTTCCGAACTAGCATTGTTAATTGCCACAATCATCCAAACTATCTCAGTTAATTGCCACAATCTTCCAAACTAGCTCTGTTAATTGCCACAATCTTCCAAACTATCTCAGTTAATTGCCACAATCATCCAAAATAGCACTGTTAATTGCCACAATCATCCAAATTATCTCAGTTAATTGCCACAATCTTCCAAACTATCTCAGTTAATTGCCACAATCATCCAAACTATCTCAGTTAATTGCCACACTCATCCAAACTAGCACTGTTAATTGCCACAATCTTCCAAACTAGCTCTGTTAATTGCCACAATCATCCAAAATGGCTCTGTTAATTGCCACAAACTTCCAAACTAGCACTGTTAATTGCCACAATCTTCCAAACTATCTCAGTTAATTGCCACAATCTTCCAAACTAGCACTGTTAATTGCCACAATCTTCCAAACTATCCCAGTTAATTGCCACAATCTTCCAAACTATCTCAGTTAATTGCCACAATCTTCCAAACTAGCACTGTTAATTGCCACAATCTTCCAAACTATCTCAGTTAATTGCCACAATCTTCCAAACTATCTCAGTTAATTGTCAAAATCATCCAAACTAGCACTGTTAATTGCCACAATCATCCAAATTATCTCAGTTAATTGCCACAATCTTCCAAACTAGCACTGTTAATTGCCACAATCTTCCAAACTATATCAGTTAATTGCCACAATCTTCCAAACTAGCACTGTTAATTGCCACAATCTTCCAAACTATCTCAGTTAATTGCCACAATCATCCAAACTAGCACTGTTAATTGCCACAATCTTCCAAACTATCTCAGTTAATTGCCACAATCTTCCAAACTAGCACTGTTAATTGCCACAATCATCCAAACTATCTCAGTTAATTGCCACAATCTTCCAAATTATCTCAGTTAATTACCACAATCATCCAAACTAGCACTGTTAATTGCCACAATCTTCCAAACTATCTCAGTTAATTGCAACAATAATCCAAACTAGCACTGTTAATTGCCACAATCTTCCAAACTAGCTCTGTTAATTCACACAATAATTCAAACTAGCTCTGTGTAATTGCCACAATAATCCTAACTAGCTCTGTTAATTGCCACAATCATCCAAACTAGCTCTGTTAATTCACACAATCATCCAAACTAGCTCTGTTAATTGCCACAATCATCCAAATTATCTCAGTCAATTGCCTATTAATCCAAACTGTCTCAGTTAATTGCCACAATCATTAAAGCTATCTCAGTTAATTGCCACTATCATCCAAACTATCTCAGTTAATTGCCACAATCATCCAAACTAGGTCTGTTTAATTGCCACAATCATCCAAACCATCTCTGTTAAATGCCACAATCATCCAAACCATCTCTGTTAATTGCCACAATCAGCCAACACTCAATAAGTGAAGTCAAAGTGCAACTTGAAAAAACCAAACAAATGGGGAAAACACACGTGTTACATCAGCAAATGTCATGCTTATCTTCATCCTAATGACAAGTGGCCTTAGGTGCAATGAAGCTGACCGCACAAATATTAGGTCTGCATTTATTTTACAACTTATTTCTAGCTAGGTTTTATCATGGAGTCGCTGCCTCATGGAGTAGTTGCTTAATGGAGTCGCTGCTTCATGGTGTCGCTGCTTCATGGTGTCGCTGCTTCATGGTGTCGCTGCTTCGTGGTGTCGCTGCTTCATGGTGTCGCTGCTTCATGGTGTCGCTGCTTCATGGTGTCGCTGCTTCATGGTGTCGCTGCTTCATGGTGTCGCTGCTTTATGGGGGTTGCTGCTCTATGGGGGTCGCTGCTTCAGGGGGTCACTGCTTCATGGAGTAGTCAAGCTTAAAATACCAAATTGTAAGCTCTCTTTGCAAATTAAGTCGGTTCTCGGATAAAAAAAAAAAAAAGAACATAACCAGATAAAAGTGTTTTTTTATTTTTTTACTTGCAGGTATCGGCTTAGTGGCATTCAACATGGGGTCGCTGCTTTAGGGGGTCAATGCTTTATGGAGTAGTCAAGCTTAAAATACCAAATTGTAAGCTCTCTTTGCAAATTAAGTCGGTTCTCGGATAAAAAAAAAAAAAAGAACATAACCAGAAAAAAGTGTTTTTTTATTTTTTTACTTGCAGGTATCGGCTTAGTGGCATTCAACAAAAGATTAGGTTTACTGGACGACAGACCTGACCAGCAATCGGTCATCTTCCATGAGGCCGCTAAGAGCGTGATGGACCAAGTGCACAGGGCCGTAACTGCACGATCTTTTTACAAGAAAGCCACGTACAGAGAGTTCGAAAGGTCGAATGACATTAAGATAAGGTATTTAGTGTTTTGAATTTTTATTTCTTTTATTTATTACACAAAATAAAATGTATGTCAATAATAAAAATTAGTATTAAAAATAGTCACTTGACCGCCAGCCTTCATTATTCTTATTTTGCAGACCATATCTATTATCCCATATCTGATATTAACCCATATCCGATATTGCTCCATATCTGATATTACACCATAACTGACACCACCCAGGACTCCCGATTTCAGATATCAGAACAGGTTTTTACTGAATGTGAAAATTTCTGAAATGATACAGTAAAGCTATTGCCTTGAGTCATAAACTCAGCATTTTCAAGTTTGGCTAACATTTTGGTTATAATGTTGTACTGACCCCTTCCTCCTCCATTAGAATGTGTTAATGATACAAGCGGCCATTAGAATGTGTTAATGATACAAGTCACCATTAGAATGTGTTAATGATACAAGCCGCCATTAGAATGTGTTAATGATACAAGCCGCCATTAGAATGTGTTAATGATACAAGCCGCCATTAGAATGTGTTAATGATACTAGCCGCCATTAGAATGTGTGATTGATACTAGATTACATTAGAAAGTATAAGATTCAATATCAAAAATCTTACACACAAACTCACTGTATCACAAATTAGTATTGCCTACTCTATCACAAATTAGTATTGCCTACTCTATCACAAATTAGTATTGCCGACTCTATCACAAATTAGTATGCCGACTCTATCACAAATTAGTATTGCCAACTCTATCACAAAATAGTATTGCCGACTCTATCACAAATTAATATTGCCTACTCTATCACAAAACAGTATCGCCGTAGCCGACATAATGAAGACCAAGGAAATCATGGAACGGCCAAAAAGGGACGGAGCTCTTACCCCCGACGAGGCTAATCTACTGCGCCCCCTTGCTTCTGCGAATACATTGACAGATTCCGATGTCATTGTGACGATGCTAACACTCTACTCTGCCGGTGTGGACGCAGTAAGTCACTGAGATCATTGTTAACATTAAAGTGTATGATAGAGAAACGTGTGCAGCAGATAGTATTCACATGTGAAATCATACGACTATCAGAATATTTTATTTAATTTTTAAAGTGAGAAGGGGGCATGTGTTTGGATTAATGCACTGCGATCAATCTGGAAAGCTTTTATTATGTGAAATCTTGAGAAAGACAAAAGACAAGCGTATTTTTAAAGTTTGACGTAGTATAAGGTTTAATTAAGATTTTAAATGAGATATCGTTACAAAAAGCTTAACAAAGCATGTAGACCTATTTTGTATATCTTTAAAAAAAAGTCAAATGCTTATTTAATACAACAGCTTTTAAAATATGGCTCACTATGTCTTTATCATGTGCCAACCTCTTCCAACGCAAATGTCATGAAATAGTATTTAAACGGTTTATACTTGACAACGTGTAAACTTGATGTATCTTTACTTTTTTTGATCGGCCGTTTAAATGAAAGTCCAAATCCATTTTGTACCTTAGACGGCCAAGAACCTGCAGGTGTTTTTCTACAACCTGGCACAGAACCCAGACAAACAAGAAGTACTGAGAAAGGAGATTCTGGAGATCATTGGCGATACTGGTCCCTTGACGAGCAAGGCCCTCGCTCAGATGACTTACTTAAAGGCTTGTCTTAAAGAGTCGTTCAGGTTAACTTTAGAGCGGAAGTTGATTTCATTAATATAATTTATACTATGTCTTAAAATTGGTAAATTGATTTTTTAAAAATTTATGTGATTTAACGAAATAAACTTTCATGTCCAGTTAATGTTTCCAAACATACAAACCATACACCTAATAGCAGACGTTTGTGCAGGTTACATTACCCGGCATTCATTGGAGCTTTCAGGACGATGCCTGTCGACGTCATACTGAGTGGCTACAAAATTCCTGCTGGGGTGAGAAAGGCATTTTTATCTTGGAGCGTTTTCAGAGCAAATATATATATAATTTTGATACTTGTTTTACAGCATAAGATTGTACAATTTGTATGTTCAAAGTAGTGTTAATTACATAGTAATTTTATATTTTAAGTTTTGACTGCAGAGGGGGGCAAAAATGTAGGCAGCAAATCTAGACAGAAAATACAGCAAGAAAAGATAGGTAGAAAAGATAGGTAGAAAAGATAGGTAGAAAAGATAGGTAGAAAAGATAGGTAGAAAAGATAGGCAGAAAAGATAGGCAGAAAAGATAGGCAGAAAAGATAGGCAAAAAGATAGGATGAACGACAGGCAGAAAAGATGGGCAGAAAAGACAGGCAGACAATACTTCCTGAAAATACTTACAAAAACGATAGACAGAAAAGATAGGCAGAAAAGGCAGGCAGAAGAGACAGGCAGAAGAGACATGCAGAAAAGATAGGCAGTAAATTTAGGCAGTAAATTTAGGCAGAAAATTTAGGCAGAAAAGATAGGCAGAAAAGATAGGCAGAAAAGATAGGCAGAAAAGATAGGCAGAAAAGATAGGCAGAAAAGATAGGCAGAAAAGATAGGCAGAAAAGATAGGTAGAAAATGCAGGCAGAAAAGATAAGTAGAAAATATAGGCAGTACAGATACTTTTTCGTTCCCCCATAGCTTTACAAAGACATGTTTAATGTGGAGCTTTGATTTTTTAATTATTTTTTTTTCAATTTTAGACCAACGTCTTAATGTTAAGTTCGAGACCTGCAAGACTTCACTTTGATGACTCAGATAAATATTTACCAGAGCGATGGCTGAGGACCAGCAAAGAAAGGGAAGAGGACGAATTCAGCAAATCGATCGTATTGCCATTTGGCCATGGGCCGAGAAATTGTTTTGGTCGACGTATTGCTGTTCAAGAAGTTTATCTGGCAACTGCTAAGGTACACTTTTAAAAATTTATAAAGATTAAATGGAACCCCCCATCCCCCCCCCAAAAAAAAAAAAAAAAAAAAAAAAAAAAAAAAAAAAAACAAAAAAAAAAAAAAAAAAAAAAAAAAAAAAAAAAAAAAAAAAAAAAAAAAAATAAGGTAAACTTTAAAAAATTTATAAAGATTAAATGGAACCCCCCAACCCCCCCCCAAAAAAAAAAACAAAAACAAAAAAAAACACAAAAAAAACACACAAAAAAACAAAAAAAAAACAAGCTTTATAAAAAGATATCAAAAGAAAAGTTCGTCTTTAATATATTGAACATTTTAAATAGGACACTTTGTAATTGTGTCAGCCTATAAATATATGTTTACATTAATTTTTATCCACAAGGAAAAAGAACCCATTTGAAAAAATCTTAAAAACCCACCTTGCCTTCCACTAGTGACAATGAGCTGATTGTCTCCGCAGGTTCTTCAGAGACTGATGATTGAGCTAGAGCCAGAAACATTAGATGCACAGTCTAAAGATCAGATGTTCAGCGCGCCTGACAAACCGTTCAAGTTCAAGTTCAGAAGACTTTAAAATAGTTTTATGATGAACTTGGTGCATTTAAATTCTATTGTTGAATTTCAACATTTATTTCATAATGCAAATCGTTTAACATTTTTATAGAATACAAGTTTAAGTCTGACAATTTTTCTTGAATCAAATAACTTAATATATTTGATATAAATTTTGATATAAATTAACTCGTACTTCATTGTCAACATTTTCATTAAAATATAATTTTTTAATCTCTCATTGCCTCATCAATGAAACTTTTAATTTATGAAACAAATATTTATGAAAAATAAAATTAATATAATTGTCTCGCTACTTTTTAATTGTTTTAATTTTTTTTTTTTACATGACTGAAGTGAGCCTAGATAAACACTGTTTTCACGGTCGAAATGAAAACATTACGTGTGGGGTATCTCAACATAATAGAATTTGTTCAGAATTACTACAAAAAAATTTGGATACCAGTTGCTGGAAGGGTGGCTTGGAAGGGTGGCTTGGAAGGGTGGCTGGGAAGGGTGGCTGGGAAGGGTGGCTGGGAAGGGTGGCTGGGAAGGGTGGCTGGGAAGGGTGGCTGGGAAGGGTGGCTGGGAAGGGTGGCTGGGAAGGGTGGCTGGGAAGGGTGGCTGGAATGGGGGTTGGAGTGGTGGCTGGGTTTAAATTTCAGAAGGAAATAAAATAATTGGTTGCTTATTCTCTAATCCTTGTGGTTGTGTGTATAGCTAAAGAGCGCCATTGGTTTATTTTCATAGTGTGTCCACGAATACAACACACTCATCTAACCACCAGTGGTTGATGTGTCAAAGTTTCAGCCCTCCCCCCCCCCACACCAAATTGCTTGATTTTACATCTTATAAAGAATTTTTACAAAAACCTTTGTTTATAGGAGTTGCTTAATTGTGTCCCTTGAGCTGCCAACACATGATTTATAAGAATACAAGACAACACATCTATGACACAGGAAAGATTCCCATTGACTTTTTCACCAATGTGCCTAGAACTGCCACGCAAAACAAGCCTACCTTCACCAAGGAGTAGTACAACATGAATTATTCGTCTCATAATGTTGTGCCACTTGACAGATCCAGTTTCATAATGTTGTACCCCTTGACAGATCCAGTTTCATAATGTTGTACCACTCGACAGATCCAGTTTCATAATGTTGTATCACTTAACAGATTCAGTTTCAGTTGATTCCTTCAAAAGACTTTCAATATCTTTGACAGATTGCAGGTGTTATTTCTAGTTCTCACCAAGCCAGGTACCACTGACTTTGACTATTTGTCTCCATTTTCTAAGATGAGAATAAACACTTTTCGCTACTTTTCAGCAATGCTGACCATCTTTCTGCTGATGCAAGCATTGACATAGATGCTGAGCTAATGCTGCATCAGATCTTGTTGCAAAACAATCGACAGGGAAATCAAATCATCCTTGTTTAACTTCACTCCAAACGATCCAATCTCGGCAATGATTTTCTCATTTAAACTGCAAAATAATCACGTTCGGAAAATATTTTGGGAAAGCCTCTATGAGTTTCAATAACAAGGCTCTTTAATGTCAAACAAGACTGCAAGGTCCTATGTGGTTTTGTAATGGGTATTTAATATATTCCCTTGACCTCAGACCAGGCCTTCCTGCGTCACGACCTATTGAAGATTTTAAAGAATTTGAACTAAATTCAAAATCGATAAGCCTATTAAAATCGATTTTTGTATTACCCTAGATTTGATACTTTGATTTTCTGAAAAATGTGAAGAATTATTGAGTTTTCGTCTGAATTATTATCGCTTGTTATCAATATTATTATTGAATGGCCAACAATGTTCTCAAGATTTTTCAATAATACATATCTGTATTACTAATGTTCACACTGAATTAAACACCAATATGAGTGGCAAGTCTCACACAAAAGAATTTACCGATTCCAAGGTCGAGCAGGAGAGGTGGCTGAAAGAGGATTGCCTTCCACCACTCAAAAAAAGGGGGGGGGGAGAGTAGTTAACTACACGGGGTTGATCGACACAGACCCATAAGGTATTAGAAAGACCCCACCCCCCTCTCCCCAGAACTGCTTTACTAGATTCAGTTGTAGCCATGAACAATAGAGAGAAAGGGGAGCGTCGTCCTCCCTGTGTGGTCTGGGCTTTGCGTCGCTTGACCACAGTACACCAAATGGTGGACCGTTTGGCCATACGTTGCTGGTCCGCATGTTAATCAAGAAACTATGGTAAAAAAGTGATACAGTTGAGTCTCTTGTCAGAAATAGCGTAGCAATACGACCCGTAGTGCGCATCAAGAGGTTTAAGATCAACGTTTTAAAGAGCGTGGAACCTAGCAATAAAAAGACGATATGAAACAATACCTAATCCGTTAAAGAGACACTTTTTGGCGTTACAAGATCATTCAAAAAAAAAAAAATATATAGCCGGCAAACCCAAAAAAATTTTCTTTAAAAAAAAAAAATAATAATAAAATAAAAAAGAATGCTGCCAGTTAACACACACAAATTGAACAAGGCGACTGAACGCATTGGTGTCCATAGCGGGTGCGGACCACAAAAGGGTGGACCCTCCCAGGAGCTCACACCAAATGGAAAAATGAAAAGAAAAACGACAAAACTCGAGTCAATTTCAAATCTGATCTGATTTAATTTTTTTTTTTAAAAAGGATATCAACTGACAAGGGCTCCACCAATTCAGGGTTGCAACAGAGCAGGATGTCACTGGACAAGGTTATACCCAAAACAGGATGCCCCTAAAACTGAGTGTCACCAGAGCATGGTGCCATCAGAACAGGATGTCACCAGAGTAGTTCTGTCGACCAGGAGGTTCTCTGCCCTCCTCTGCCCCCCCCCCCCGTAGCTACGCCCCGTGTACGCCACAGGCCATAATTCACGCTTCAGAAAACCATGCCGCGTGAACCGCTCTGAGTTACGTGGACACTAAATGTGCTGACCTAGTTAACAACTCACTGGAACGTATTCGTTCCCCAGCAGCACTGTGCGAGACCCTTAGGATAAAAGCGAGAAGTGTTCCAACTGGATAGTTGTCATTGGATAGTCGTCAGTGGATGATTGTCGCTCATTTGACTTCTGTTAATTTAAGTACTACAGTGTGGATTTCTCCATTAATCTGAACACAAAATGAACCGATGTTTTCAAATCTTTATTAACTTGTATCCACATTTATCCCACTTAACTTTTAAATATTTATTCGTGAATTTTCTATCGATAAATATGTCATACATATCAGCCTTTCCAAATTCGTGGCCCACGGACCCGGTGCCGGTCCATGAGTCATATGTTGCCGGTCCGTGAGCCATATGTTGCCGGTCCATGAGCCTTATGTTGCCGGTCCATGAGCCATATGTTGCCGGTCCATGAGCCATATGTTGCCGGTCCATGAGCCTTTTGTTTCCGGTCCATGAGCCATATGTTGCTGGTCCATGAGCCATATGTTGCGGTCCGTGAGCCTTATGTTGCCGGCCCACACAAAATGATTGTTTATGGTCAAGTAAAGATAATATATGCAATAAATCTGACACCGGTTAGCGGTTTAATTTTGAAAACCTCTTAAAACTTAACAGTTTGGAAGCGCTCCTTTTCTTAACTTGTGCTCTATATCAAACTGTCACAGCCGACTGACCACCAACACACTTTCCATAACACCAGGCCTGAGGAGCTGGGTTTTTTTTTGTTTTTTTTTGGGGGGGGGGGGGGGAAACCTGTATATTTTTCCGTTTTTAAGTTTTTTTTACAAAAAAAAAAAATTTTTTTTTGTTTTTTTTTGGGGGGGGAGGGGGGAAACCTGTACATTGTTCCGTATTTAAGTTTTTTTTACAAAAAAAACAAAACAATAACAAACAAACTGTAACGATGTTTAGTTATTGTAACGACGTGTTATATGTTGTGATATAATGTTGATATTCTATGTTACTTATCATACACGCACATATGTGGATATGTATATATGGATCCAGCGTTGTATTGGTGATTTGTGCTCTCTAATAATCGTTACGATAATTATTGAAAGCATAAGGCAAACACGATATGGTTACATCACGATACAGTTTGTTAACAGGAAATCACAATAGGAAATAAATATCTCATGATTGGAGTAAAATGATTGTTATAACTTTCCACGCTTGACTTATCTCTTTATACACACAATAGGACGATAGATAGTCCGATGCTATGAGATATTTCTTTGCAAGCGCAAACATTCATGAATTCAACCTGACTCTCCAAGATTATCACTTCCCCCCTTTCTTCATAATCCCATCTTGTCCTCTGCGCATTACATTTTATCACTCTCTAACTTGCTGTTCATACTAAATTGTGAAAACAATTCATTATACGAAACAATGTACTATATTACTATTTGAGCTGTTACACAAACAAAGAAAACAAATTAAAACAATATTGGATACATACTTCATACTCTTTACTTCATAGCAGAGCCGCCTGGCACCACCTGACACCACCTGGCACCACCTGGCAGCCATGTTTGACAATAACACCCTTGTTATTTAAGGTCATACTGGTTTCCTACAAAATTTCAACAAAGATATAGATAACCAGGTTTGTCAAAAAAGTATTTCCACCTTTAGAAAGTGTAAATGGTGAGTAACACGACCGAGATCGGCTTGTGTGGAGTGAAGTTCAACAATCATTATTTTGCCTGCCTTGTCAATTGTTTTGGAAAATGGTCTTCCGCACCTTTAGCTCAGGATCAAAGTCTATGCTTCCATCAATAGAAGAATAACTGTGAACAATTCCTGCCACTGTTACCTCTGCAAGGTTTCCATCAAAAGAAAACTGATCTGTTAACAATTCATGACGCTGTCACCTCTACAGAGTTTCATCAACAGAAGAATTATCTGTTACCAATTCCTCCCACTGTCGTCTCTGCAGAGCGCTCATTCAGCAAACTAAAGCTGAAAAATATGTATCTAAGATCTACTACGTCACATGGGCTTCTGTTAGATTTGGCAAGACTCAGTATTGAGACCTATCGTGCAAAAACGATTGATTTTGATGATATCATTCACAGTTGTGTCAGGGAAAAAAAGTTAGAAAACCACCTTTTTAAAACAGAATATAAATCATATAACACCGCAAATATAATAACTGTTATGAGCTTGTAATCAATCTAGTATAACATTAATCGCTTAAATTAATTGCTTATGTATATGTAAAGGCAA